TACAGAAAATGGATGGATGGATGATACAGAAAATGGATGGATGGATGGATGGATGGATGGGTTAGGGCAAATATTACTTTACTGTGAAACAAATACAAAATATGAATAAAACGCATCATGAGTAATTGAGAAAAATGCTAATATCACTGAAAATGTCCAGAAATATAACGCAAATTTAGTGGTAAAGTGAGAAAAAAAACGGCTTTTTAAACATCCGAAGACTTCAGGATTCGTTTAGTGGGCGTGTGCATGTCTGGATTGTTGTTCACGTGGACATTTCCTCACTAAAATGTTCACAAAAACAAACAAATCGCGCATTTTTTTTTTTTCATCCATCCTACGCGGGACGTTTTTTAGTGTTAAACTTTTACATGTTTTCCCTCAATCTGGTCAAAAGAGTTCAGTTTTGGTCAAGTTTGAGACACATTTGAGGGATAATGGAAACATTGCAAAAAATCTGATAATGTACAAAAAATTCGTTTTTGACCAGTGGTTGTTTGTTTTTTGGGGGGAGGGGCTGTTAATAAGTTAAAAGTGAGCTCTTTTCAGAGTTAATCTGCATTTTCTGCCCCCCTGAGGGGCGTGTGTCTAATGAGTCACATGTTACTTACGTATTCTGACGTGTTTTTCCTTTAAATTCTGCTGGAAGAACCTCCAGCTCTGACCAATGGCTGCAATCGGGAGGCGTGTTCCTGGAGGCTGACACTAGTTGACTCATTTCCATCCAGTTGGTAACTTACCAGTTACAGTAGAGCCTCTAGATACCAGTTGAATTTGTTCAGGGACCTACTTTGCGTATTAAAATATTGGTATGTTGGTTCAAATATTCCCATAAGAATACAGTCATTCCTATAATTGGTTCCACCGCCCCAAAACCTACAATAACTCCTTAATAAATACTACAGATAATTACACATAGCAATAAAACAAATGCATTGTATAAGAGAGATTTAAAAAGAAATAAATCATAAAGATATAATCAATAAAAAAGGATTTTTTATTGGCACCTATTGGTGAACAGAGGTAGAGGTGGAGACTGAGGTTCAGGACGAACCCTAACTGACTCTAATTTTCACTACGTCAAATTTAAACTAACTTAGCTTATTCATTTTTATTTAATTTTCATATTCCATACAATTTTTTCTTTGACTTCAACGTCATATGTTGGAAATTTACTTCGGGTGTCGAATATTTGATCAAATTTCACTTCGGATGTTGGAGTATTCTTATGTTTAGGCAATCGGAAGAATCTTTACATAAGAATTTAATTCATTCCAGGACTTACTTCATATGTTGGTTCAAAAATTCCCTTCAGAATACACTGTAGTTCCTATAATTGGTTCCAAAAACCTACGATAACTCCTTAATAAATACTGCAGATAATTACACAGAGAAAGAAAACAAATGCATTATATAAGAGATATGAAAAAAGAAATACATGATAAAGAAATAATCGATAAAAAGCGTTTGTTTTTGGCACTTTACCTCAGATGCAGGAGATGGTCCGGCTGCTGGGAGGTTCTTTGGGTATTTGAAGTTGGACGAAACAACGACTTATTACATTTGTAATATTCCAGAAAAAACACAAAAAAAACGTGATTTTGTTCATATCGCGTTATAAAATTGAAATCGAACATTTTGGGGAAAAAAAGAAAATGGAAATATAACTTGTTCTCATATCGCCCAGCCATGACTGACTGATTGATTGAATACTTTATAGATCTCACAAGGAGAAATTAACTTCCAGTACTGAGACCAGAAGCTGCACCAGGAGCTGGGCAGCATGTCGGGTTAGAACAAGCCGGACTAAAGACTATTTTCCCTAAACTAAGACTAAATGCGGGCATGCATGTGCGTACTCTGGATCCGTGATGCGTTTACTGACCAACTCAGCAGCCTGTTTTTAATATCGGGTTTGTTATATGAGCTCATATGAAGTCAGGAAGGTTTAAATCCAGAGTCTGTAAACAGGAAATTACCTTATGGGGACTGGAACCGTCTGGGGTCATCCTGTTTGAATCTGGGTCAGGGATCGATGACCCCAGCAGGACCCCGACCAGAGTTAAAGGATGTTTATGTTTCAAATGAATTCATCGGTCTTCCTGTGATAAGGCCAGAAATTACATCTGGGACCTGGTTGAATAGTCAAATAAAAATCAGATTCAAAGTGGATCTTTCTTTTACAATGTTTTCCTTTGAATGGAAGAGAACTCTGGAGAATAATTATTTTAGCATTTTGAATAAATCAGAGCTCAGAGAAAGATGGCAGGAAGCCATTTGTTCATAAATGTATCAGACGACTGGTTAGAAAAAAACAAGAAAAAACTTGTTAAAAACAAAAATACTTTTTTGTCCCAATAATAACCTGACAGTAAATCAGTCTTGAATCATGTACAATTTGTTTTATAACATGTTAAATTCAATTTATAGTTCGATTTGAAAGAGTTTTCAGATTTTTGAATAATAACCTGACAGTAAATCAGTCCTGAATCATGTACAGTTTGTTTTATAATATGTTAAATAAAATATATAGTTTGATTTGAAAGAGTTTACTGATTTTTGGTCAAATTTCTGCCTCAAACTGCCAAATGTCCACATTTTTTAGGAGAAATTAAGCAAAGACTCCCAGAAAAACCCATAAACACATGTCGGTAGTTCCAATGTTATTTATTCTGAGAAACGGAATGAAGAAATGACAGTTTTCCCCAGTAAAAATGTCTCTTTGTCTGTTTTAAAGTCAGCCTCGCCCCGGCCTGTACAGTGGGACGAGTGCAGTTTCTAATCTTCGGCTGGACTAAAAACAAAAAAGTTTTAAAATCTCATTATTTTGAAGCGTTAGGTGAGAAGGAGCAAACAAAGTGTGTGTTTCTGCTCTTCTGCTTGGCTCTACATGGGTGTTTTTCTGTGTGTGCAAACATTTACATGTGCAGTGGACTTGTATGTACACACGAAAATCTAATTTAAAAAAAAAAACAAAGCTTGAAAAGCTTTACATAAGGCCCGTGGATTTCTTTCGTTTTCTCTCTACTTTGTGTCCTCTGACAGACACAAAACTACTTCTGTTTAAACACCGAAGACATAAAGCGGCACAGAAGCTTCGATGTGAGGACAGTTTTTTTTCCTGTGGAGGGGGTTTCATCTACAGCTGCTGAATAAAGCCCGTCAGATGTGTTATGTTACAGAAATGTTACATTATCTTACAGGCAGAGCCTCTGCGTGGTTAGAAAAAAACATCCGAGTGAGTTAAAAATGCATTCTGCTCGAATAAAAAAAGAAATCTGTCAAAGAAAAAGCGGAAAAAATAACAGTTATTAATTTAGTTAATAGCTTAAAACATGAAAACACATTAAAAAAATGAAAATAATCAGACTTTTTCAGAGCTGGCTTCTGGAGCCTGACGCGGTTCAGACGGCGACTTTTTAACGTCCGGTCGCGTTTTTGCTTTTCAGTTTGGCTTTTTCTCGGCTGGTCGTTTTGCGTTTCCTCCTTTTTTTGAATCGCAGAGCGGTCATCCTCCCCAGCTGGTTTGGCCCCTTCCCCTGAACCTGATGAGTTTCTGTTTGTGATATTTCTGGGTTTCTCTTCCGTACCTTACAGTCTAGCCGACGCGGCTTTCTCTGGAGAACTCCTGGATTACGATCTGGGAAAGCGGAGGAACGCACAAAGCTCCCGTCTGATTGGCCGGCCGAGCGCCGTCATGCCCCGCCGGCCAAACTGAAAAAGCTGAAAAAGCTCGGGTCGCACGCGTCTCAGCAGCCATTCTTCCATGATTCAATCTAAAGTTTAACACTGCCCAACTTCCCCCCCCGTAAGGCATAAATCAAAGTGCAATTTCCCTCTTTTTGTGGCTTTCTGAACATGATGGAGGGCGTTTGTGCTGCTCGGAGCCGATCGTTCCGATGTGGCCGCTAAAGCCGCCGGCGGGCTTTGAGTTAGCCCGATTTCTGACTGAGGAACGCTGATCGGGTGGAACCCATGAAGCTTTCTCCATCGTGATAGAATCGTTGAGCTGGGAGGTTTTGGCCAGGAGCAGCGAACGGGGGTGGAAAACAAAAAACAAAAAGAAAAGGTCCCTAAACCGGAGCCCTGCGGCCCCCCGGCCTCACTGCACCATGTAGGCCGACGCGGCCTCCTCGTGCTTGAGTCCGTTCCGCGCGATGATCTGCTCCACGGCCACGTAGGTCCCCGTGAGGAAGCCCACCAGCCCCACCGCGCTGATCAGCACGTTCTTGGCGGTGACCAGCGGCGACAGGCCCTCCGTGTGGAAGGCCACCAGCTGCAGGACGGGCGGGAAGATGAGCGCCAGGAAGCTGCTGCTCACCGAGCCCACCAGCGAGATGACCAGGTCCAGCTCCGGGATCAGGATGGCCAGGGCACCTGGACAGGGACGGAAACGGGGGGGCAGACTTTAGCGCTTTAATGTACGGCGGCCACTACGGCGGGCAGCTGTTTAAAAGCCTTTTTCTTGTGTATAAATGGGGTTTTTATGCTTTAAATGCGCATAAGACACTGAAGTGGTGCATCATAGGGATGTCCAGATCCAGCTTTTTGCACTTCTGATCCACTACCGATCCCGGCCTATCAGAGCATGTGTTAAAGTCTAAAGTTATTTATCTACTTACTTAGTTGTCAGACTCATGTTGAACAGGGATTTACTCTGATAACAACTTAATGGTTAGGACACAGGCTTGTGGGTTACAGATGCTAATGCTAATGCTCGTGTGGGATCGGACTTAAAAAAAAAAAACTGGATCAGGAGTCTGGATATACATTTTCTCCTGCCGGCCGATACGCATTTTTTTGCAAATATCGGCGGCCGATACAATCCAGATATCGGATCGGGACCAGCCTAGTGCATAACGCAATAAAAATAAAAATGTCCGTAACGTTAAAGAGCAGCTGAGACAATAACATAAAAGAAGAGACTGAGCGGGAGTGTGAAAAGGGATGAACATGCAGACTCCACCCAGAAAGGTCCTGGTTCCCCCGGGGACTAGAACCCAGGACCTTCTGGCTGTGAGGTGATGGTGCTGACCACCACAGACCCTACTCTACTAAATGAGTACATTTAAATCATTCAGGAGTCCACTGAGACCCTCGAAGCAAAGGATGGCCTTCATTAGGAGATCATTTAGAAACAAAAAAGTGTGGACACACACTAACACACACACACACACACACACACACACTCTGCTGCCACCTCTGTGGACGGGGACGACGGGCCAGATGTGTTTGTTCCCTCTGTTCACCGGTCACACGCGTCCACGGCCTGATAAAAGCCTCTTTGAACCAAAATCAATTGCTCGCCACTGCGTGGTCGACTGAAGATGACCCCCCCCTCCCCCCCCCCCCGACAAACCCAACCCCCCGCCGGCAAGGTCAGGCGTCCACACAGCGAACCGGCCACTGGTGAGGAGAGGCTGCTCTTCTTCTGAAGCTTCCCAGGCCCTCAAATAAGGCAGAGGCTGGGGAAGTGTGTGTGTGAGTGTGTGTGTGTGTGTGGTGGTGGGGGGGGCAGGACCAACTTAAAGAATATGCTGAGCCTCCACAGCTACAGAGAGCACGCGGCTGGAGCTAAAAGGCTTGCTGCCGTCCCCCCTGAGGACTGGGCCGAATGCGGATCATCAATCGGCTTCAAAGGGCCGGGGAGAAAAAGGCCCGCGGCGCTCTAATTTAGCCACGCAGCCCCCCCCCGCTCACAGAAACAAAAGCTACAAATGCTTCGTTTTCTCTCTGCCGACCGGAGCTTCTTTCTGTGTGAACGGCTGGAGACGCGCGAGGGGCCGAGGCTTTTAGGACGGCGGGTCGGGTGGAGGGGGGAATATGAAATAGCGAGCGGTATGAACACACCAAGGAGGGAGGAAAGAAGATCAAAAGATCAGCGCTCCGCTAACGGGGGCTGGAGGAGCTCTGTTTGAAGGCAAGAGCGAGTCAACACTTAGGCCTGATGGGTTAAAGTGGCTGTGACGCCCACCTCATCCGGCAAATTAAGGCCTTTAGGACACCTGCGGCCGGATTCTGGGTATCTAAGCCAAACAAATCGCTCGTTCTCAGAGTCCTTAACACGGATGCGGCTAATCTGAACAACTGGGAAAGTGAAACCCAGGGCAGGAACGCGGCGGCTTTTGAGATTTTTCTGCGATCCGCAGAGAGCCTCCCACTCTCCAGCGAGACCCAGCCAATTATCTCCAGAGCTACAAAGCCGGTAGCTCTCAGGCTGGATTAAAGATTTGGTGGGGAGGCCCTTAGCTCCCCAACACTACCCGGGCAGGAGCCACAGGCCCCGGCCGTCCGTTCGTTAGAGAAGGACCTGGAGCGAGTTTGTGCCCACAGGCTCCCCGGCTCGTTTTAAAGAAGCCCCGGTTGGATCTGCGGAAGCTAACGCTAATTAGCTCAGCAGTTCCCCCCCCTCGATCCCTCCTCGCACAGGAAAACCCGCCGAACGGCCGTTTTGAGTTTGGCTGATTGTTGCCCGAAGCGGAAATCTGCGCTGCGGAGAGAATTTAAACCCCAGGAAGGAAAAAAAAAAAAAACAGCTTCTGCCTGGAGTTTAGCAGCGCTTCAAAAGATGAACGTGTCATTCATCTTTTCCATTATTTAGCTTCATTATTAGGATTCGGTTTAAACACCTGCTGCTTCATGTCAAACTGCAGCGCTTTTGGACAGGAAGTCCATCATTATATGCTTTAATTTGATGGAAAATAAGTAGTTTGGTAGAATTGTACTCAAGTTAATTAACACAACTTATTGCGAAAAGATAGAGACAAATTCAATCTAATTAAAAGGTGAAAAAGAGCTAAATTTAGTCGTATAGAGTTTAACGGAAAGACACAAAGAATGAGCTGGAGCTGTGTGTGTTATCCTGAGAGGAGCGTCTGGTTTTTCCATTGGAAGCGGCGATTTGAAGGGAGTAATGAAAAGGCTAGAAACCAGGATGGACCCTAATGTGGAACTAATATGAGGGCACGGCCACTAATTGGTGCGGTGAATGGAGCATCGCTCCTCGTCACGTGACGCGCCGCGTAAGAGGAAGCCGATTAACGGCGGACGCTCGTCTGAAGAGCAGATTGAGACGTGCTTTGACATTAATGAAAGCCGCTAAGTGCCGAGCTGGAGCGGGAAGAGGCTCCGATTTGCATGTGACCCCCGTTAATTACTGGACTTTATTACTTTCCGAGCTTCGTGTCGCCGGTTTCTTTCGGGATCTGAGAGGTTTTAGCTAGGCTACTTTTCCCGAGTTGCAGGTTGGAGGGTTTGCTTTAGTTTTGTTTGGTTTGGATTTGGATTGAGTCGTTTGTATCTGGGTTTGTCTAAAACGAGGTTAAGCTAGTCTACAGATAGCTGGAGGGGTTTTGGGCCACTGGGACTCTGACGCTCTGATGACGGAGGCCTGCTCATCTGTAGGCTGCGTGGAGGCTTTGCTTAGACGTGCTGCTTCTCTGATGAAATGACAGTGTCTGTAGGGTGTGCGCTTAAAAAAAGCAAACGATCCTTAGCTTTGTGTTGCTTCTCTGCTGCCTCATCATCCTCCCCGCGTCCCCCCCTTTTTTTTTCTTTTCTTATCTCCCATATGGCTAAAAGCATAACCTCCAGCTCACCTCCCTCTTCACCACCAATTCATCATTGCGACGAGTCAGCAATCAGCTCCTCCGCCCCCCCCCCCCCGGACAACCTGACAGAGGTGGCGGCGCTGCTCTCCAAAGCGCTCCCGACTAATCAATGCGTAAAGTTGCTCTTCGGAGCGGTGTTCCGGCAGCTTTCATCCCCGTTCGGAGGCATCGGAACGGAAAGACGACGGCCGAAAGCCTAAATGACATCGCTTAAAGCAGAAGAGCTGGGGGCTTCTACAGGCAGAAGGAGATGCTGCTTTTAACTGTTTTGTATCTTAAAAAATAGATACGAATTGAATTTGTCCCAAAACCTACTTTGTATGTTAGACTTTAACCCTAACGATAACCACTCCTGCAATTTTTTCCACTAATGTAAATGTCTTTAAATCCACATGAACATGAGTTGAACAGACTTTAGTAAACAGATAAATGGAGGAAAATCCATTTAGAAGATGTCTTCCAGTCATCAACACACACGAGCTCTTTCAAGCTGGGCCCCGTTTCATTCACAACACCTGTCCCACCAACCAGGAACCAGAACCAGATGTTTACAGTAAAAACAGGAAGTTATCAACCTGTGGATTATCTGAGGATCTTAGTACTGAATGCCCAATAACGAGGTACATTTACACATGGCACGATAGGACCACCACAATTTCATACAATATAGATATTTAAGGGGTCCCGGCTCCATCTCGCCATCAGTTTGGGGGTCCTAGGCCTGGAAAACCTTGAAGACCCCTGCACTAGAGGCTTTATTCTAACCCCTTGGGAGGATTTCCAGTCACAAACGGCTCATTCGTCTGGAGAAGCTGACTATAATTACAGAAATGAAGCAGCTGCTTCTCATCTTCAAACTCCGGCCGGTGTTTTCTGTTACAGGGAGCCGCGCGCCGGCAGATTTGACCAACTCTCTTTTAATGGTTTTCGGTTACAGACGAACTTCGGTTTATTTTCAGAGCCTTCATTTCTACACGCCTCAGGCCAAAAAAAAAAGAAGTTCAACCAAAATGAATTAACGGAAACAGTCGTCTGTAGGGAAATGGCAGCATTTACTTTTAGTGTAATTACAAATGTCTGTTTGGGGGAGGGGGGGGCTCGTTAAACTTCTCATTTCAGATTCTCTGGGTGGAATTTCTCAGGAAAAGAATTAAACATTTCAAGCCTTGGGATACACGTCCCGGTTATCAACTCTCAGCCGCCAATTGGATTTGTGGAGGCTGATGGTGGTTTGAAATGACAAAAGCTCGAGCTAACACAAGCCATTGTGAGTCTTCTCTTCTCCATTTAATCAGGCGGCGGCTGCCTGCTGGAGGGGCTCTGGGGGTGGGGGGGTGGGCTGCATCTTCAACTTTCAGCTAAACTTAAATTCACTAGTTAAACCTCAGAGACAGAGCTCGTGTTAGGGATTGTTGTTAGTTTTTTTTAAAGCTGTGGCAGTCGAATAAATCAAATCCGCTTTATCTACAAAGACCACTGTTTACATGGTGCTGTGTGTGTTTCTAAGAGTGAGAACGCTTTACGCCCCATCAGCAAATCCCAGAAACAAACAGAGGCTGGAGACAAATGACTGGAGTCGGGATTTGATTAGAGCTGGTCATGGCATGATGGATGTGAGCTCTAAAAAGAAAACAAACCAAACACGAGGAGGGCGCGAGGAACACACCAGGAAACGATTACCGTAGTTTACGCACTATAAGTTGTACCTACAAGCCCTCAATTTTCTCAAAAACCAACAGTGCATCTTATATATTGATTAGAACTGAC